GGCACTAACAACTAATCTGGAATGTCAACCCTTACCCAGATGTTTAAATGAAGACTGGGAGTTGCAAGTAGTGCCTGAAAGGGTGGTGGATATCAGGAAGAGGAATGATATCACAGAAGTCCTAATACATTGGAAGGATCTACCAGAGTTTGAAAGGTCGTGGGAAAATGCACAAGTGGTGAGAGCACAGTTCCCAGAACTCAAGCTTGAGGACAAGCTTGTTTTTCAGCAGGGGAGTATTGATAAAGACACCGGCAGCTCTAATAGAGGAGATAAATACTTCAGCCACGTTTATTCTAGAAGGAAGAAATAGTTAGTTGTTATATGCTTGTAACTACTTTCAGTTGGGAGTTTGTATATAAATAGAATAAACTGCGGTGGAAGGGGTAGGCTGTTTTTGAGACACTTTGTCTTGGCTGGGAAGTTAGAGTTTTATCTCTACTTTGGGACTCTGCACATGAACATTTACTTTCAGTATATTGTTGATTGATGTACTTGCATTCTTTCCTCTTGTGTGAGCTGATTCTTGTTAGAATTACTGTTGAAATCTTGTATAGTTCTATCAATACCTGTCTTGTATTCAATCTCAAAGTCATACCCCAATAATTTTGCCACCCAGATCTGCTGGGAAGGAGTCGTTATACGCTGAGTGAGTAGATGCTTGAGGCTACGATGATCTGTGCGCACCACAAACTTACGTCCAATTAGGTACGGACACCAGTGTTACACGGCTAAAGCTAATCCCATCATCTCCCTCTCGTAGGCTGATTTAGATAATGTTCTGTCTGCTAATGATTTGCTAAAATAAGCAATAGGCCGCCGCTCTTGCATAAGCACCGCTCCAACCCCGATACCCGATGCATCACATTCCACCACAAATTGGCGGTCAAACTGGGGCATGGCTTTAGCACTGGTGCTTCGGTTATCGCCCTTTTCAGACATTGGAATGCCTTTTCAGCCTCTGTGGACCAATGGAATTTGGCTATTGCCTCCTTTTTAAGAAGATTTGTGAGTGGGCTTACAATCAGCCCGTATTCTTTTACAAACCTTCTGTAATATCCGGTTAGTCCTAAAAATCCCCGAATTTCCCTGGCAGAACTCGGTTGTAGCCAATCGATTACGGCACTGACTTTAGCCGGATCCATAGCCACCCCGGCCTGAGAAATAATATGCCCCAAGTACTCAACCTGCAATTGCCCGAACGCGCACTTCTTCATATTTGCCTGAACTGATTTGTCTCTAGGAGGTTCAAAACTAAGTCCAACTGTTTCCGATGTTCTGCCCAGGACTTGTTGTATATTAATATATCATCAAAAAATACTAGCACAAATTTCAGCAAATAGGGATGGAACAATTCATTCATGACTGCCTGGAAGGTAGCTGGGGCGTTAGTCCGAATGGCATTACAAAAAATTCATAATGTCCGTTGTGGGTACGAAAGGCAATCTTATGAACGTCAGGGCCAGCCACCCTGATCTGATGGTATCCCAAGCGCAAGTCTATTTTGGAAAAGACCATGGCTCCAGCCAGCTCATCTAACATCTCTTGTATTACCGGAATCGGATATTTATCTGGCACTGTAGATTTGTTAAGCTCCCTGTAATCTAAACAAAATCGCCAACTGCCATCTTTCTCCTTAACTAACAAAATTGGGCTCGAGAATGGGCTAGAACTTGGCTGAATGATACCGGCCTGAAGCATCTCATTAACCAGTCTCTCGATCTCGTCCTTCTGTGAATGGCCGTACCGGTATGGCCTTACTGAAACAGGCTTTGCTCCGGGAATTAGCTCGATGCGGTGGTCTGCTGCTCGGCGAGGTGGCAGCCCATGCAGCTCCTTGAAGACCTCTGTGTGCTGCCCGAGGATGTTTCCGAGGCTTCCCCAGACCATTTAGCGATTTCACTCAATAGGACTACAGCGCTGGACTCTATATCAGTGGTCTTTAGTAGCGTGCGCAGACTGACCGCGTTTTTACACATTGTTGGATCGCCTTTGAGTTCTATCTGCCTACCATCAAGCTTGAACCGCATGGTTAGTTTCTTCCAGTCGGTCCGCACTTCTCCTAATGTGGCTAACCATGCCACTCCCAGTATAACGTCCACCCCGGCCAAAGGGAACACATAACAATCTGTTTTAACAGCACACCCAGGTAAATTAACAGGCAGCTGCCGGCACACACCTTGTGATTCTTGTCTATGCCCATCTCCCAACTGGACCCCGAACCTTCCTGTTTTATCTGGTTTGAGGTGTAGCAATGATACTAATGAAGAAGACACAAAATTGTGACTGGCACCACTATCTATTAATATTGTCACCGTGTATCCTTCAGTTATTCCCCGGAGCCTCATTGTTTGAGGGCTGAATATGCCAGCCATAGCATAAAATCGCCTTCCTCACCTTCCGTTTCGTGGCTGTCCTCCGGAAACTCCTCTTGCCCTGTAATTTCGCAATAGTCATGTTGTTGCAGGTCAAGTTCTTCATCTTCTTCTGCTAGCATTACCTTTAATTGTTTGAGAGGACAATCATGCCCTGGTGTAAAAGGTTTCCGGCACTTGCATAACCTTTGGCCCGCAGCTCGTCTAACACCTGTCTAGGAAGTTTGGTGAATCGGGAACGTGCGGTGGACTGTCCAGACAGTCCTGAAGTGGACCCTACAACCTGTGAGGCGGACCCCATTGCCTGTCTGGTGGCCTTCAGGAAGCTACCATTGGTGTTGCGTGAGCTACCACCACTTGCAGCCGTTAAAGATCCTGTGTTTGGTCGGGAATAACTGCTGGAACGTGACCCCATGGAGATATAATTTGGACCTTTTCTTCCTCCATTCTGAACTGACAGATTATGATCCACATCCCGGGCTAATTCCAAGGCCGTCTCGAGGTTAACCGGCCGAAATAAGCGCAACGAGCTTCGGATTGCTTCCTTAAGTCCACTCATGTAGTAGCCCAAATAATGATCGTCAGTCAACCCCGGAACTTGGCTGGCCAGTTGAACAAACAAGGTATTGTAGTCCTCCACCGACCCAATTTGTTTGACACCCGACAGCCGTTCAAACATGTTTCCCTGATATCGCGAATCAAATCTAGACACCAGGGCTTGCTTAAATTCCTCCCAAGATATGTCGGGTTTGCGCGCCTTCAACCAAGTCACCCAATAGAGGGCTGCCCCTTCCATAGAAACCCTAGCCGATGCAATTTGTCTGTCCGGTGGGGTCCTGTTGAGCTCGAATTGCTACTCCACTCTTGTCAGCCACCCAATCGGGTCTTCACCGTCGAACGAGGGAAGTAGTGTCGTGGAAGCGCTGCGCGGTCCACCCTCGTCGGTGAAAGCAGTCGCAATGTGGGCAGAGGAGCCGCTCTCGCCGGTCGTGCTTGGAGACTTCTCTAGCGGTACCATGGCCTTCGCGATTGTTGCCAGGGATGCTGCGATTTCCGCAAGCTGGGCGGCCTGCTACTCCTGTTTCTGAGCTTGTATATCCAGTTTCTCTCCTTGTGAATCGAGCTTTTGATTGATCAGGGCCTGTTCGGCCTCCAATTCCGTCAGTTGTTCGTTCTGAGATCTCGTCATTCTAGCGGGACGGGATCCGGCAGGTTGGATCAATTGATGGAAGCAGAAACTAACAATCAACGGTAAATTCCGTTGCCCAAGCTAAACAGCTAAAACCAATATTATTAATCCCCACTTTCAATAAGCCTAGGCAAGGGTTTATATAACCCTTACATCCAAAACTGAATAGGAAACTAAATCCTAGTAAGAAACATAATAGGAGTCCTAATTAAATCATATTAGGAAACTAAATAAAATAGGTAACCTCTTATCCTAATTAAAATAAACTAGGAAACTAGATAAAATAGGAAGCCTCTAATTCTAATAAGAATAGAAGTCCTAAATAAACCATAAAATAAATTAGGAAACATAATAAAAAGAATAATTAAAATATCTAGAACCAGCCCACGAAGGTGGGCTCAAGCCCGTCCCCGCCTACGGTAGACCAACAATGGTCTGGGGCTCGGATCTGCTTCCTGCGCCCCTTCCTGCTCTCTATCACTTCGTCCCATAAAATTTGGCCAAATTTCCTTTTCCAGCCGTCCCAAAAAACTTTGTCATTTCCATTAAAAACAACAAATGCGTGGCTAAAGCTATTTCTCTCTTCTCTGCACAAATTTCAACCACAAAGTTTTTACTTTATTATTCTACGTGCAAGTCAACATTGGCCAAGTTTTATGGGACGGAGGGAGTATAAGAATGTTGTTTTGATTTTAAAAATTTATAGCACTGAGAGAGAAGATTGTACACTAAAAGTCCAAATTCTATTTCAAATATTGATATTAAAATCCATTTGTATAGCTTATTTTTCTGATACAAATGTCATCAAAATGTAAAAAAAAAAATAGTACTTAACAAATACAGACTACAAAAATAAGAAAAGTGTGCATGTAAAAAATGAGCATCAACAAAAGATAAAACGATGAAGAAATATAAATCATCAATAGCTAACAAAGAATAAGTCATTGGAAATAAGATTATATATTTACAGATTGATTATAAATAGGAAAATAAATTACTGTCAAACAATTAGAGTGAAGTGCGGGGAAGATCATACGATAGTACAAACTAAAACAATTTAGAAAAGAAGATAATATTCCGTCCCCAGATCTATTGCTTTATAAAAAGGAAAATAGATTACTGTCAAACAAAGAGTGAAACGCAGGGCAGATCGTACCAGTTAAAAAAAATTAGAAAAAGAGATAATATTCAATCACCAGAATATTGTTTTTAGTGTGTGAGGATTACAATAAAAATAGAAATATTCAAAGAATAAATAATTGGAAAAATAGTAGTATAATTGTAACCTGGCTAACTACATTTGAGAATAATCTGTGAATGTTTTAGCTCACTGTCTTCGTTGCCTCCACAAAACTCACCAATATTCGGTCCATATGAATCATGAATAGACATAATCAATTAACAATATAAAAAACTGTAGTCGAAATGTACTTCACCATGATGAAACGAAAATGGCTGAGATGTGTAACCTGGAACCAGATACCGCGGCCGTCACCTATATATGTGCGGGAATGTGTACCGGAGACTAAGGATGTCAAGCTTTTGATTCGTAGCGCTCTCGGACCTAATGGTATAGTGACGGTGAGGATGATAGTGTGTGTGAGGATGGTGAAGTGTGGAGCTGACTCTGGAGACTTCCAGAGCTGCTGTGCGGTGGCGTGAGAGTGAAGTGAGGTGAGTGAGGGAGGTTGTGTATATCGGCCGGTTTGCTATTAGCTCTGAATTCATAATTGGATTCCAAATTTGTATTCCTGGAAGACATGGGCCATTATTTTAAAATTACATTCAATTAGGCTTTAGCTGTGTTTGCAAAAAAAAAAAAATTAATCACTTTTGAGCTTTTAGCTTTGAAAAAGCTAAAAGTGGTGTTTGCTAACACCAACTTCAGCTTTATTTAAGTCATTTAAAGCCATAAGGCAGAAGCAGCTCAAGTGGTGCTTTTTTCAGCTTCTTGGTATTGTGGTAAATAATTCAAACATTCAGGATAGTTATTAGGTAGACAAATCTCTCAAACCCCAAAATATCCTTCCCATTGTTAACTATTACTCCGTATGAAGATGCCATCGTGTTGGATGCCTCGCACTACTATGCTACTTATTGTGATACCGGCGACACCATCAATCTGACGCCGGTGATGCACCATCCGCCGCCGGCGACGCAACATCCACCGCCACCGGCAACTCGATTATCCGCTTGGGCACTTGTCTTGAAGCAGTACACTATAGCTTGGTTGCCGGAGTGCTGGCGTCCCGGTAGACGGCGGTGGCTCACCTCTCTTCCGATCGTTAAGTGTGGGTGTAATAATATAATTATATACACAGTAGGTGGGATTGATAGAAAAAGTTGGAGTGTGGCTCACCCAAGCTTTGTTGTCGGAGTGATGGGGAAGATAGAAAAAGGGGCAGCAGACTAGCAGACAATCGAATTATTCGGGTGGGTGGAATCTGTATAATAATTTGAGGGTATATATGTATTTTAACAATACCCTACATCAAAAATCATCTTTCTATCAAACACTTCAACTTTTACCTTTCTATCAAACACTTCAACTTTTACCTTTTAATAAAAATCACTTCTATTTTCAAACACCATCTACTTTTACTTTAAATCACTTTTCAAATAATCTCTTTAAAAAATCACTTTTTCAAAAGCACAAGCAATCGCAAACACTCCCTAAGTCGGCGTTCAATGTCCTTTACTTCTTTATTTTATGAAATACTTCTTATACCTTTAAATCAAGAGTTTATCAAGATTGAAGTGAAGAACATATTCAGGTACGTATGTTAACACTACATTTTCTTTTAGTGTGTAAGCGAATATAATTTTATAGCTGCAGAATATGATGATTTTCGTTTAGTTTATCAAGAGTCATATAATATGTACTTCGTGTTGTGAAATGAAGAAGATGAAGACTAAATAAAGAGATAGATATATTGATAAAAAGCTCTAAATAACTTCTTCTTAATAATCTCTGAAATTTTCTGAGTTTCTGAATTGCTTGAATTAATTTACAAGACCTCATCAAGCCACTATTTATACTGGTTGAGCTTGATGATGAGTCACTTATTTGATGAGTCTACAGATTTGGTGGCAATAGCATATTAAACCACTTGTTCTAACTAGGTTACAAGGATCATTACAAGGATCAGGAAAAGCTTGGTGTCCTAATGAGTATGCTGCTTACAAGAATGAATAATTCACACACATGTTATTCCCAGGATTTTACAACACTCCCCCTTGAATGTTCATCCTTCAATAATTATTTTGTTATTATGAAAAATTAGTGTGAAAGTTAAGGGGTAAAGATTACGACATATAATGTCGTTGTATTTGGATGTACTGTCTCGTTAAAAACCTTATCAGGAAAAACCCAGTGGGATAAAAACCTGATGAAGGGAAAAAGAGTGCAGTGCATTCAAATACTCCCCCTGAAATTAACATAAATTTTGAAGGCGGTGCATGCCGATTTTCTGTACAAGTTCTGTGAACTTCTTCGGGGGTAAAGATTTGGTGAAGAGATCGGCTGGATTTTCACTTGATCTGATTTGTTGAATGTTGATCGTCCCATCTTTCTCCAGATCATGAGTAGCGAAGAATTTTGGTGATATGTGTTTTGTTCTGTCTCCTTTGATATAGCCCTCTTTAATTTGAGCTATGCATGCGGTGTATTTGTAACACCCCCATTTTCCCTCCCAAAATAATACTTGAAATAATAGATTTATTGACAGTAAACTTGATTTATTCTTTCAAAACAGATAAAAAGTTTTGCAGCGGAAATAATACTAATTGGGAAATGGGTGTTACCGCCACATCCGGTCATCTCTTAACCGAATGCACAGGCAATCACAAAATAAAACAATAAGAACTAATGTACTTGTAAATAAATGTTTATTCTTGACTAGGTTTGACTAAGGCATCTCTAAACCGCGCTCGGGAATCAGGCAATCATCAGTCAACATAAGCATCATCACCTGCACAAATAAAGTGCAGAAAACAAAACAGGGAAAAGGAAACAAAAATTAGCTTTAGAGCTAAGTAAGTACTACCCAACCCCGTAAAATAATCAGGTTTGGCGAAAAATAGTTTTTCATATAATACTATATAAAAATGACACACTCCACCAAAATTTTTTTCTCTTTGATATTTCTCAAAATCACTTCTTTAATAAAGTCCTCAACTTTTCTTTGAAAATACCATAGTAACTCTTCTCTTAGAATTTCTCAAAGTTCACTTCTTCTCTATCTTCCTAGTAATTTAGAAGGGCGGTACTCAACACTGGTTGAGCCCGGTGGTTACGTTGTTATGTACGGCCACCCCGGGACTTTTGCCGGTACCACAACTGCTAATGGAAACGAAACGACTACCTTAAGTGTGCACACCCCCTAAAAGGGATTCCAAGCCCTCCGAGTAGTAAGTCGTCACGAGTAATCGGGACTCAGTCTACCAACTACCCCACCTTTAAAATTCTTGAATGATTAGGGACTACTACTACTATAACTTCTTAAATGGGATCATAGATCCAAACGTCACTTCAAACTCAAACTGTACTTCTTAGTAGTAGCAGCCTTAATCACCCTCCACATTTATCCGGATGTGGAAAACCGACACCACGGATTTCTCCCGGGTGCTCACTTCTTATGAAAACGTAAATTTTATCTTGACTTTAGATATACTTCCAAAAAATATTTCTCTAAATAGTCTCAAAGGTATTTAAAAATATTTAATACCCAAAAGTACTTCGTTTGCACTTCAAAAATACCATAGATCTAATATCTCCTCAAAATCACATACACATAATTCAAAATTCACACTTAATCACAAAATGCATAATAAGCATATAATACGAGGAAACAATTTTGGATCGGCAGAGAAACTTACCTCAGAAATGATGCTCCTAGTTCACTTCTTCTATTCCGATCTCTAGGAAATCACCTTTTAATTACAATTTCATAATTAGTCCACTATTATGCTTTTATTAATATTAATTTATCCAATTTCCTTCCTTATTTAGTTGGTGCATTCTTATTCTGATTTTCCTTATTAATTTCATAAATCGGGATTAGTTACGCCCATTACGGTTCACCCGTAATTAGTTTCAATTTTATTTATTACTAGGTAATTACTAATAATAAGTTTATAAGTCCATTGTACTTCGTATATTACTAATCGGTTCAGTTATGACATATGGTCCATTACATTATATTACTAAATAATCTCAAATATAATAATTATTTTTACTTCTGTTAATGACTATTTTATTATTACTATAATTATCCTTATTATTATTATTATTATTATTATTATTATTATTATTATTATTCATATTGGTAGTATTGTCCCAGCATGGTAATATAAGCAAATACTTACGGTACGGCCGTTCTCGTTTTCAACGGCAGCAACTCGATCCGGCAAGCCCCGCTTTTGTTTGGGTTCAACGGCACTACGAAGACGGAGTTTAGCGGTAGTAACCTGGTCCAGCGGCACAGTACGTGATGCGGTCCATACTCTTCCAGCGACTGTTGGGCCCAGTAAAATATTCCTTCAGTTGGGCCGTTGGATGCGTCAATGTGCACCGATCCATGCAGTCCAAAGGAAAACCACAGCCTTCCAGTATGCGGTGATTGATATTAAAGATAAGAATTTAAAGGGTCCAAGAGCAAGTCAAGAGGAGAAGTTAAACGTGGAGACAAAATAGGTGGTTGGTTCCTATTCTTGGGGAAGGGGTAGAATTTAGTTTATAAATATGTTTGTTCAGCACTACTGGAACACACGATCAATAGAGATCAAACACATATTCATACTCAGCTATTCTTCATTCAATATTCGAGCATATTTAATTGTTTGTTCTAATTAGTATATTTCGTACTACCCTTATTAATTCAGTCTATAATTGATTCTTTATTGCTGGATTCCCATTTCAATTATATTCTTAGATTAGTTAATTTCTAGTACAAACAATTGGCGCCGTCTGTGGGAAATTCTTGCAAAAAGAGAATCAATTATGGCCGAAAGTTCTAACTCCCTGTTTAATGAGATTCAAGCACAACTAGAAGCCGTCCGAGAAGAGCTCCGCGCATCCAAAAGTTCCGACGCAGCACAATTAGAAGCTGTCCGGGAGGAAATGCGTCAACGAATCGCCTTCCTCCAAGGTGAAAATGACGCTTTGAGATCTCAGGTGCAATCGGTGGCATCCATAGCCTCAAGCTCACGACGGGGCGAGGATGTGGCTACCATGGCAGCGAGACTGGACATGGGTTCGATTCCGGCTTCAACCGAACCTTTCATCCCTCACTTCGGGGCCGACACATCTGGAGGAGCAGGGCCCTCAACTCGTTCCTTTCCACCCCCAAATCCTAGAAGGAACATATTCCGAAATCTGTTTGCACAGCCCCAGAGACAACATGTTTTAAATCATGTCGACATCAACAACCAGAGGCGACAAGTTCCAAGCCATGTCGACATCCCCAGACATGACGACATCAATAATCGAAGCTGTCAGGAGCCAGAGGTCGTCACCATATATTCGCCTCTCGAAGCAGCGGATCCGCAGATACAAACAAACTTGACAGATCCCTTGGCCGTCATCATGGAGGAACTGAGGGAATTGCGAGAGAAGTTCAACAGCATACCTGGAGTCCCACGTCCGCTTGACATGGCGACGCAAACTTGTTACGCAGACTCACCCTTCGGACGACATATCACCGATGTCGAGATTCCGAGGAAGTTCGCCGCC